GAGGAGGAGGAGGAGGAGGAGGAGGAGGAGGCGGCGGCAGTGGTGACGGCAGCAAGTAAAAAGCAGCCACTGAGCCACAGCACCTCATCAGCAGCGGGAGCAAGAAGATGGTGAACATCAGCTGGAAGTGCAGTGGCGAAGCACAGGGTGGCAGGGGGCCAAAAGGCCTTAGATGGGGAGGAGATAGGCAGCTGAGAGGGTTGTAGTGCCTCTGTATTCGTAAGTGTGGGCAGGCTGCCAAGCACCCAAATTTTGATCGCATGACCACAGGGGTGCGGCAACTGCCGTAACTTTGGGCATAGGTTATAAGTCCCTTCATTCAGCACTTCCACAACTTCAAACGGTTGCTGAATGAATAGTAATAAGTTGAGGACTACCTGTAGTACAAGCCACTTTTGGCATCAATGTACTTAACAGAGGGCTCTATAATGCAATTTGCAAAGAGGAACTTATTTAATGTCTATATCACCACAACATTTTTTTCCAGTAAAAATAAAAATTAAAGTCCCTTTCAATTCAACTCAACTCCTGGTGACTTTATGGACATGTCCAGACATTTTCTTGGCACCATGTCAGAAGTGGTTTGCTCCAACTTTCCGCCAGGATGCTTTTGGACTTTCCAGACTAGCCTATAGGAGTGGTATACACTGGAGGTCTCCTATTCAAGTCCTAAGCAGGTTGGACCCTGCTAGCTTTCAGGTCCAGAAAAGGTTCTCCTGGCGCTACTGCAGTACTTTATCGGTTAGGCCCAATAAAACTATACATTTGAAAATCTTTGCTCACTACCAAAAGTGACTTTTGTGCTCCAAAAAAATATCTGATTCTAAAACTGGATCAATTTTTCTTCACCTCAGAAAATGAGTGAATGGTTTGTTCTAAGGAGTGGTTTATACAATCTACAGTATGTGGGATTTATTTCCTGGTAAATGTGTTTAGAGTCACAGACTGCAGGTAATTCATCATCAAAATGCAGCTAGTCCATTCAAGTAGGTTAGGGACAACAACAACAACAAAAAGATGAAACACATTGTTCTTATTAAAATAAATAGCGGCAGTAAAAACTTCAACGTTTCAGTAGCACTATACATTAGCTTGTTTTGTGCAAAACAAGAAAGAGGGCTTCAGAGAGGATCAAGAAAGCAAAGGTTAGATCTTTTTTTGTTACAAACTGCTACCAAATAACCCTTGATATACTCCATAACAGAGAGGCAACAGACAAGTGGATGAAGGCTGTGAGAAGTAAAACAAATTATGAGAAATTGCCCATCGAAACCACAGTAAATTCCCAGGGTACTGAAGATCAAAAGCACCTCTCCATACACCTGAACATCTTTATATATCATTCTACTTCAGCAGTCTGAGCGTAGTTAAAGAAGTATTTATACATGGCTTTCAGCTATTTGTCCCAGTTGATGTGTTTCGATGAAATAATCTGTTAATATCCAAACATTTTTCCTCATTTGTAATGATTCATCAGTTATGAATTCATGAATCATTTGACCAACATTTATAACTTAAGGAAGGTAATTATTCATTGTGTGTGATTAGTCGCTTCTCAGCTTTTTACCTTAGATTCTTCTCAGAGACTCTGTGAATACTGCCTTGTCTTAGGCTTGTGACATGGGGTCCACTGCAGGTCACCCCTTGAGGGGATTCAAACAGTCCCAGGCCACTTCAATTGCCTGCCACATCTACAATGACCCTCCTACAAACTGGAAACATAGTATAGGAAGCGTCTACATCAGTGTTTTTCAAACCTGGCAATTTTAAGAAGTTTGGCTTTAACTCCCAGAATTCCTCAGCCAGCATGCTAAGTCCACGCATCTTAAAGTTGCCAAGTTTGAAAACACCAATCTGCATGATTTTTTTGCAATTCTTCACTGTGCAACACCCACGAAAGACAGAAGAAGCTGCCCACTGCAGATATTCCTTTTGAACATGGGAAGGCATGAAAGTGAGCATGCAGGGAGACACAGCTAACCTTCTTGTTCTCACTCTTGTTGAAGACTGGAATACCTGAAAAAGATATAATGAAATACGAAAATCCAACCCAGGGGTATACTAACAAGCAAGAACATCCAGGACAGTTATAGGAGACATTT